CCTCAGCACCTGCACACCATTTTGCCCAGTTCTCCTCCAGTTTGGGGTCGCACAAGAAGCCAGCAATTTGTAAAGTTATTAAAGACAATGATGATAATCCCACAGGCACAAGTTCTTCCCTGGGGCGAAAGTAGGGATAGCAGACAAAAAAACCCAGTCCAAGTCCAAGGGTGGGAGGCCATCAAAGGCCAACACCCACACATACCTGGGGAAAGAAAAGGGGGGGGAGGAGAAGCCACCCGAGGCGACCGATAGAGCCCTGGTCAGCCTCCCGCCTCTCCTGTCCCAAGACTCCCCAAATCCCCAGTCTCAGCTCTGATGACAAACAAACCCCGGATAACAGGGGTCAAGGCTCAAAAAAGAGCAGATGGTAATCCTGAGGGCAAGGCAAGGCTGTCTGTATTCCCCCATCCACCTGCTGCAAGTTCTTTCCTCAGCCGGATGATCTGTGGCTGCCATTGCCTTCCGCCGCCGCCGCCGCCACCACCGCCGCGGCCGGCTCGCAACCGGCACCCTTGGCTCCCCATGGCACCCCCAGGACCCCCGAAAAACATCAGGAGAGCGTCCCAGAGATCCGTGAGGGGCGAGGGGATGAAGGGCACCTCCAAGCCGCCGCCGCATAGCAATGCCGACCGCCGCCGAACGCTCCGGCTTCCATTCCTCCCGGCGCTGACAAGCCGAAAACAGCTATGTATATGTGTGTGTGTATGTGTGTGTGTATATATATATATATAGAATCTGTATACATCCAGCAGAATAAGTTGAAATTCTAAATAAAAATTTTATCCTTAGTCTGTATGTCCAGAGGGGATATAAAAGTCCTTTGATCTACATCTGAATCAAGTTGCTCTGACCTGCAATTCATGCATTCATGCATGGAATGGAATGCAGGTTTTATAATTGTACAAATTTTGCACTGTGGCAAACATATCAAAACTTGTGAAAAAAAATACTATTTTAGACAAGCACACCTTTACCATGTATGCTGAATAATGTGATTCTGCTCTTTATAATCTCAACTTTAAAAAGTACAAAAATTGTGTGGAAGGGTCTGCTGAGTAAAAGGCTCGATATAGCTGTATGAATGTTTGAATTTCAAGAATTACAAATGCAATTCTTTTCATCTGAACAGGTGTCCAAAGGCATAGCAAGGTCTTATGGTACACCTATAGGTTCTAGATTAGATCACTGATTCAAGGGAGAAGCCAACTTTTCTCCAATGCCCATCATTCCACAAAAAGAAACATTTAAAATTTGTTTATCCTGCCTTTTTTTCATTTGTACAGAGAAGATCTCAGAGATAATTTGCTCACAGAGATGGGCTTGCACGCTTCATAATAAATGTATGTTTTAAAAGATATATTTTGCTAAGGTTATGTTTCCAATTGAGAATGTGTCAGGAACATATATATATTTGTGATTTTTTTTTAACCTTCAGACTGAATAAATGACCAAGTTTGATAAAGTCTATCATGAATAGCTCGGAAGTTGCTGACAGATTCAGCAAAATCTGCTTCCCACCGCTGAAAGAAGGGAATATCAGACTGGCAGATTTATTTCTCTTCTTGCTGACATCTACCAGGCTGATGTGAGAAACAGCAGGGCTGCCAAAGGCCTTTTTATGTTGCCCTGTGCTTTGGTTCATAATCAGGGTTTTGTGGGGCTTTTGGCAGGTGATTATAATTAGAGCCTTACCTGCCCTTTCATCAGTGCTCTTTGTTTATGTGTAATTATACTTTAGATTTTTCCAATTACATTTGCTATTTTACTGAGTGCTGTACGCAACCCAGAGTTGCTTCTTGTGAGTTGGACAGCCATATAAATATGAGTAATAAATAAAATATTGAGACACTCTGTGGTATGAAACTTGGGCTTGTTATGTAGTGTACAGATTTGTCTTTATAAGGATGCCCTTATAAGCTGTTCAATCAAAGTTTTAAAGTTCCCCATAAAACCAATATTCCATGTCATCGATGAAAATTCTCAGTCATCCAGGAAGAATTGTCTGGAAATTGAATCATGGCAACTGGACTTACTTTCTTGTTGGTTTGAGACATTTCACTGCTCATCCAAGCAGCTTCTTCAGTCTGAATAAGTTTTAGTTTTAGGAGGAGGCACATTTCAACAACTCTCTGTCTACTTAGATTTTCCCTTAACTATCTTGTTCAGATTGAAGAAGCTGCTTGAATGGGCAGCAAAACATTTCAAACCAACAAGAAAATATCTCCAGTTGTCATGACTCAATTTTCAGGCAATAATCCATGTCCTTCACTCAACCTGCTCAGTGAGCTAGAATTTGACTGAATTTCTTTTGGAGCCCATATCACACTTTGCTGTCTCAGATTTTGGCCCAAACAAATCCTTTGGGGTGAGTCTCCAGTTCATCTGTTTCTAGCAATAGCTATGGCTCACAGAAACAGGATGATATATTCTTCTACAATTGGTTCAGGCTTGTTTTTTTTTCTTCTATGCTAAAGTTTGCATTTGTGTTTGATTGGGCTGGGCTTCAATATTATTCTTCATATGCATTCCTTGCATTAGTTATAGCCTAATGTTTTTAGGGCCACAACTCTTGCTTTTCTCATTTTCCTAGATATTTGCTCTGATTCCCACTGATAACATGAGTCCAAATCCTGGGGGTGTGAACTTTCTGTTTCCATTTTCTGTTCTCTTGGGGTAAACAGTATCTCCTGAATAACTATCTGGTTTAATGATCAATAATTCTGGGATAACACAGATGATTTAGAATAGTGTTTCTGAAAGTAGTTTTTCTCTAGGACTTTAGTCTCCTAGGATTCTTTAGTAATGGCCATGCTGGTTGGGGAATTCTGGGAGTTGAAATTCACCTATCTTAAAATTCCTGAAAGTTCAGAAACACTGATTAATAACATTTAGTATAGGTAATCTTTGATTTATGCCCACAATTGAGCTCAAAATGTATATTGCTAAGCAAGACAAGTTAAGTGAGTTTTGCCCCATTTATGACCTTTCTTGCCATTGTTAAGTGAATCTGGCTTCCCTATTGTCTTTGCAGGTCACAAGGTTGCAAAAGGTGATCAGGACATTACAACCATCATAAATATGAGCCAGTTGCCAAGCATCCCAATTTTGACCATGGGGGAATGCTGCAATGGTTGTAAGCGTGAAAAATGGCCATAAGTCGTTTTTTTACAGTTCTGTTGTAGCTTCAAATGGTCATTAAATGAATGGTTGTAAGTTGACGTATACCTGTAATGTACTGTCAAAGCAGTTGAGTCAATCACACCAATTGGTCACCTTTTAATTCTGTTCTTATACCAAATTCTCAACTTTTTTGTGGTGGCTAAATATCAGTTTAATCTTTTTATTAGAAGCTGTAGAAATGGTTGTTCAATACTCAATAGTTTTTGGAGACTGAGTAACTTGAGATAGTTTGTCTCCTTAAAATTCAGAATCCAGTGTTCAGATGAGAGGACAGCCTGTGCACATTCTGACTTTATAAAAATGAAGCGCATTGTTTTCTTCTTCTTTATGTGGAATGAACAATTATAATGCTGTCATTCTGTTTCATTTCCTTATCCTTGTCCTTTTCCTTTCTAAATCTATATATTTTACAAAATCTATATATTTCTGTCCACCAAAAATGTTGGTGGACAGAAATTAATATTTTTTTCATTTCTATGGAATGTTTTTCTATTTGTCATTTGGTGAACTCTAAACATAGTACAGTATGTGTAGGTGAGACATTGGCTATATAATTCTATCAGGATGCCTTTGAATTATTGCATTTTGAGTACAAGAGTTGGAGTGAAGTTGCAATTAAGGTGATGGAATATGGCTTGGGAAACCCCAACTGAAATCTATCCTCAACCATGGAAACTCAATGGTAATTTTAGTTTCATTTTCACCTAGTCCAGTCAAACTCAAACACGTGTATCTGATTTTTTAAAAATATAAACGATGCTGCACTTCAATGGTTAGATGACCTAAATATTGGTATTTGAACATAGATCTTTTTAACATTGATATTTTATTATGTACTACTAATCTAGATGAAATGTTAATAAATATTGCTAGTCCATGTATATATTTAGCCATATGCTAACTAAATAAATTGTAATAATAATAATAAATAATAATAATAATAAAATGAAAGGAAAATCTCCATTCAGGAAAGATAATGAATATAACAAAGTAATGAACAATAGCATGGATAAACAATTCCTCATGTCTATCTTGTAGTCTTTCTATATGTATTTCATTAGCTACAATGGGATCCATCAAGTCCTTTCTAATGCTTTTATGATAAAGAGTCCAGTAACTGCCTGTAAATTCTTGTCAGAAGCATCAACACCTAAGATTTTAAGATATTCTCCAGGATTTAACTTTCAGGGCTTGATACTGTAAACAAAGTTATTTTCTGTTTTCTGTCCCTGCCCTACCAAATAACTCCTCATAACAGATTAAGAAAGAAGATTGGAGGAATTTCAGACATTGATCCATACTAAGACACAAAAGTATTTATGAAATATACTTATGCATCTTCCCTAAAACCTCAGTCCCCAAAACTATGTGAATTTGAAAGTAGATCTTAGATTAATTCATGCTTAGAAGGTTGAAAGTAACAAGTAGCAAGACAAGTTACTAAACGTTATACCATGAATTGATTGTCCTTCTGTTTTAGAATCCTTCCTCATTTTTGTTATAGTTTAATTTCTGTAAATTTCCAAGTTTAATTCAGCTTTCTCATTTAAGCCTAGAGAGTAAGAACCTGGAATCCCTAGGGGCTGAAAGAGAATACAATACCATTATACAAGAAACTATTTTATTTTCAAAATGTATTTAAAATGGCAGTCCTGGCTACATGAACCCTGCTTCCCTACATAATGAAAAGAAGCAGTAATGAAAGGAATGGAAATATGTGCTAAGGTATTATTGGGTCATTTAAAAACATAGCTGTCATTGCTATTCTTGAACTTGTGAATATATCTCAAATTGTATTCTCAGATTTGTCATCTTACTGCCTTGTGCTGAATCTGAGCTTGTTGGCTTGATGACACGATTCGCATCTTCATGAAGACTGCCAAACCAGTCTTTTAGACGGGATGCAAGATTTCGCAGTTCCTTGTCTGTGCAAGCTGCAAAAAGAATGACAGCAATTACATGACAGATAACATCATAAACATAGCCTCATCAAAGATTATTTTTGTTTACTTCCTGAAGAATAAACTTTGATTCCAAGGCCACTGCATTTCAACCAGAAATTGTATAGCAGGTCAAAGGGTAAAAGCGCATCAAGAACACACAAAACAGCAACACAAGATTTATTATTATGCTTGAATTTTGGCTAAATGGGAGACCTAATTTATGATGTACAATCTGAACACAAATCCATCTTCTGTTGCTTCTCAGTGATGTGTGGGATTTTTCTATTTTGTTTTTTTAGTAATAGGTATCACCTTTTAGATCTTCCAAGAAAGAACATCAATCAAACAGCAGTAGGGAAAAATAGCACTGCTATTAGAACAAGACCCTGGATATAATTTATAACCTTGTTTGGTTTAGTTTAAAGTTATTGCCATGCCAGTAGGAAATCTTTTAATGTAAGGTTTCATGTTTTCCAGTTCCATGGCATTTTTAAATCCCTTCTCTATTGTTAAAGTTTATTTAAACATGTAGCAGGCACTAAAGCATTTCAAATCTAAGACATTATAAATAAAGAGGTAGAAAAGTACACAAAAGCATACACACACTGTTGTGTGTAAGTGTCTGTATGCATTTGTAATCTTTAATACTGAAACATTAAATAATTCTGTCGAGAATAAAATTTGTATAGATGGAAGTAATTCATTAGAAAGTGTGTTGTTGGTGTAATTAAAAAAGAGAACAAGCATGAACAAAGCAACCTTAAATTAAATCATTCTTCATGTGATGTTAATTTTTCATCCAGCGCTGAGAAGCTAAACTTTAGTTTTCCAGCCAGCATTGTTAAAGCAAAAATAGCAATTTACAACAGAAATTAAATTAATGTCTTATATTGCACCATTTTATACATCTTGGGAAAAATAAACAATAAGTTTATACTAACATCAATTATTAAATATTGTTTCTTAATCCTTCCAGTTTCCTTAAGATCAGTCAACATTAAGAACCAGCAGTTATAGAACATGTACTGATCTGACCATAATCCCTACAATGTAATCAACACATTAAAATAAAATAATTCTAAGGAGGCGTTCTATAATAAACTTTATAGTGAGTTCTGGATTTCCAAAATAAAAGGAATTTAAAAGGATTTTTACAACACAAAGAATTCCTGCTAGGTGACAGTACCAACTTGCCCTTGAAAAACTAATAAGTTGAGTAGATATTGGATGGGAGACCAACCTGGAAATTGAAAACTGTAACCAAGACCGGAAATTGGAGTGGGGGAATCCTAAAAGGCAAACTATTTCAATATTGTTTCCAAGAAAATTACATAGAATTTACCTTAACAGTTTACCATTTTATTCTAGATTTACATAACACTGAATAAGACTCTTTTGATTCTAGGATACAAACTATTCTTCAAACAGTGTTTATTTCAGGTGTAATAAATATTAGTTTAAGACAAAAACTGAAAACTGAGTCCTTAAACTCATATTAATTTTTTAAAAAGCCTGAATTTACATAATTTGAATTTCTGGTTGATTTTTCTTTCAAATATATTTCACAGAAATAACAGACACTGAAATAGCACAGAAACAGTAAACACTAAATTCCCAATCAGGGGTCAAGTGTCTGTTTAATCCTGTAGTCCTCAATGTTCCCATTTCTTGAACACATATTTTATTGATGCCTTAAAACTTGGATGATCAAGAAAGGAGAGAGAAAAGGATCAATGATCAGAATTTTATTCCCTTTTTAAGTTCAAATTTCAAAAGGTAAGCTTTAAATAACAGGTTTGTGATGTCAATATGAATAACTAAACACCAGGGAGAAACTGCATCAGCTAGATGAAAATTTACTCAGTTAACTTGTACTACTAAATGTCTTTTGAATTTTGAATACGATGAATTCATGCATTTTAAATGAAACACATGAAAGCAACTTGGTGCATCTGAATCCCTCCCATACTTTTGCTTATAATTTTGGTTTATCATTTGCTTGGTCCTAGTTTCTTTAATTAATTAGGAAAGTATGCATGTATGTATACTCAAATAACTAATTCTTAGCTACATACAGCCTGAAGTAATAGGACAAATGTAAGTGTATGAAACAGGAATTAAGACTGTAGATTTAATAATTATATTAATTACAGGTATTCTGCCAAGCAATAATAAAGGAAATGCTGTCATGTTAAATTCTTGGATTTTTCAGAATATGCTGACAATTACACTGTTTTATTTGGTGACAGTCCTTTATAATAATTATCCCTCTGCAATCTCTTAATGGTTTTACTATTTTTTCATGATATCTAGATAAATGTATCTACTATTCATTTCTGTTATGTATGTTTATTGGGAAATATATAATTTTTTGTTATAAATTTCTGCTAAGCGATTAGTGGCCAGCAGAATCCATTATTTATGAGAAAGGACAGAAAAGATGTTCCAGCTTTTCATTATCTTTAGTGATAGAATTCACATATTCAAGCCATTTTATTATTCTTCACATGAGTTCATTCAAAAAATTAAGTAACATTATTCAAATACAAAAGAAGATTTTCCTCCATGCTTCACACAGTAATCCATGAATTAATGGACATGCTTCACATAATAACTTACAATGTAATATCTCCGTTCACTGCATATTCTAATATAGTCCCTGAACTATCTCTATACAGCCCAAGGAATGTCATTGTGTTGTACAAAGCTAGGAAATTGGATTTTTATTTAGTGCAAGACACTTTTAAAAATAGTTTAAAAACTGAGCAAGAAGGAGAGATAGCATAGTAAAGGGCAGAAGTAGTAGTCACAAGGATTATATATCAAAATCAAAATCAAATTCAATTGCATGAGCCAATATAATTAAAAGATTGTATCAGAACATCCGGAAAAAGGTACTTTTATGTAGGAACCCAAAGAACAATCTTAGCAGCCAAACAGCAATCATGGCAGCCATACAATGTGTGTGTGTGTGTGTGTATGGCATATACACACACACACACACACATAAATCCACATATAAAAAGAGAGAGAGAGAGACATACATGCACTTGATGGAATCCCAATCAGCTAGTGTCTACAATAATTCTGTTCTGCATTCAGTTTGCAAAATATCCTTACAAGATTTGTAATGAGCTACAAGATTTGTAATTTACTCTCTACTCAATGCACTGTCTGGACTGCACAGGATAAGTGATAAGTGATCATCAGCATTAACTGGTGATGTTCGGACTTCTGATTTAAACACCTCTAACGAACACATCTGTATAGGCACTAAGTTTTGTTGTTTCAGGAACATTTCTTTCTCATTCTTAACCAAAAAAGCAATTTTCAGCAAATGATTCCGGCACTTTCAATAAGTATAGTTTCATTTGTTTCATCGGTCATCTTTTACCCTTCAGATTATTTAAAAGAATATAATTGTATCTCTCTTAATTTTAAGACACATTAATTCAAAACTGATTGCAATGATTTATAATGCAAATTGTGGTCCTATTTGTGGACATAAACCATGGACTACTTATGTTCGCTTTTCAGCAACAACCCTGCGCTATTATTTCATTTTTAGACAGTTGATATTAAGGCGCTGGAACCATATATACACAAACCAGAATTTTTTTCATACTAAACTTGGTCCTTTGACTTCTTGTACCTAAATGTATATACAACTTTATATTAATTTGTAGGCACCTCATCATCCACTTTAGTACAGTACTCCAATTTTCCAAGATAATCTTTGAACTATCACTTCTGAATGGGAAACCTTGTACTCTACGTATACTCTGTATGCTGTGTACAATATGAATCACTGGACGGCCCAGTACACACCTTGGATAATTTATTCTTTTATCCAAGACATTGGTACAAGTGTTTAACTATTATAGACTTTAGGACAAACTGCTCTTTCTTTACAGCTATCACATCTGCTTAAGAGGGGGGGGAATTCCATCTCTGTATATTAAATGATAGGTATGCTGCCTTTGGGAAGTAAACTCATGCCTTTGATTAAAAGGCCAGAGTGGTTTCCAGAAATAATAATTTAGAAACATGGGGAATAAAGCTTCTTTGAAAGTATTTTTCAAGAAAAGATAAGGATTATTCATTATTCATTCCCTTTCTTATTAGAAATTATACAACTTTATATTTTATTTATTATATTCTACTCTTTTTTCAACAATAGAAATAAAAGACCTTAATTAAAGCATTATCTATGGACACCAAATCTTCTTTCCAAAGAACTGATAATGAAAAACTATTTTTCCATCCTCCATTACTTTATTTAACAGATTAAATAAGTATAGCAAGCCCTCCAGGGATGGGTTCTACTCAGCGGTGGAATTCAAGTAATTTAACAACCGGTTCTCTGGCCTAATGATTTCTTCCAACAACCAGTTTGCCAAACTGCTCAGAAAGTTAACAACCGGTTCTCCCGAAGTGGTGCGAACTGGCTGAATCCCACCACTGGTTCTACTTACCTTTACTACCGGTTCTCAATGGGGCCGCGCGCACTCGCTCGCTTCACATCTTTGTTGCTATTCTCTGTACTCTTTCCAGAGTCTCAACATCTTTTTTATATTATGGTGACCAAAATTGGATGCAGTATTCCAAGTCTGGTTTTACCAAGGCATTATAAAGCAGTTCACTACTAACACATTACATGACCTTGATTCTATCCCTTTGTTAATGCAGTTTAGGATTGCATTGGCTTTTTTGGCAGCTTCAGCACATTGCTGGCTCCTATTTATATAGTTATCTACTAGGACTCCTAGATCCCTCTCATAGATGGTATTGAGCCAGGTTCCACCAATTCTATACCTGTACATTTGGTTTTTCTTCCTAAGTGTAAAAATGCTACTTTTCTCACCATTTAATTTCATTTTATTAGATAGAACCCAGTATTCATGTCTGTCAAGATCTTTCTGGAACTTGAGTCTATATCTTGCCAGGTTGGCATTGTCTGCAAATTTGATGAGTTCCCCTTCTATTCCTTC